TCGAAGCATTACTTTGCAATAGCCTCTACCTGCCTAAGCAGCCTGATGCTAATATAACATGGCAGTATAGGGCAGCTCCACGCAACTTTCTCAGCCTTCCTAAGTAATTGGTGAACCAGGACCCCACCTCACATGGGTAGCTGGGGGAAAGCAGGTCCCATACAGTATTGTCCTCAGACCCACTGGGAGGCATGTGACCTTCCCATAACTCCCTCTCTTTTAGTTAGAGAGGAGAGGAAGGCCTTGGCTGGCGTCATGCCCATGAGATTGCAGTTTGAACAGTGCACACTGTTCAGTTTGTCTTGAGTATCAGTCCAGTCAGACGGACAAGAACAGCCCATTAATGCCAGTGTAGGCTGACAGTAAAAGTAAGTAGGCCTGGAGTGCTTCTGTGTCTACTGTGTCCACCAGTGGAGGCTCCTCAGAAGAGGAAGGGGAGGACCATCCTCCTCAGTGAATTTCATACAAATATAGTGAAATATTAAAAAAGTTATCCTTTTTAGATAAAACTATACAAAATACATTCACCTCACCAAATAATTGATTAAAACACAGTTTTGCAATTAAGGTCTACAATAGCCTCAACAGCACTCTCTAGGGTAGCACCATGGTGTAGTCAGAGGACAGCTAGCTTCCGTCCTCCTCTGGGTACATTGACTTCAATACAAAGCTTGGAGGCTCATGGTTCTCACCCCCTTCCATAGACTTACACAGTAATTATGACAACTTCCGGAGGACGTCCTCCAAACTATCAGAGCTCTTGCAGCATGAACTGACATGTTGTCCACCCAATCAAAGGATCAGAGAATGAATCTAGTACTGAAAGCATAAGCTACAGATAGCTAGCACTGCAGTGCATAAAATGTGGTGAGTAGTTGACTCAAACAGAGAGGAAGACAATAGTCGAAACAGTTTTGAACAAATTAATTTATTACAAAATTAAGGAGGAACAAGAGAGAGAAATATGTATATTTTGTCATTTTTTTCACTTTCACTTACTTAGTTAGCAAATGCAGCTAGCTAGTTTACCCTACTCAAACACCCGGGTCAAATATAGAGGGATGCTATGTTAGCTAACTGGCTATGACTATCCAACACTGGAGCTCTTCCAAGTCAAGGTAAGCTTTTGGTTTTACTAATGTATTGCCACCGGGGCCTGCCGGTGTAATTGCTAAACTGCTTACTGACTGTGCACTGTACTGCAAGATTGTAGAGGGTTTACTAACGCGTTAGTTCTATTAGCTAAGTTGACTATGACATGACTTTAGCTAATTTGGTGACAACAATGTAGGGTGTGTGTAGTGGTTATGATATGAAGGTTTGGCTTGGAAAGTTTTTTTTGCCTGGTCACAGAAAGCTGATGTGTTGTGCATTGAAGTCCACAAGCGAAAGGAAAAGGTGAGAGGAGGAGAGCACATAGATCCGAAAAGGAATACAACAAGCTGTTTGTATGTGGCTATGAAAGAGAACTGTTTGCGTGTGATCAGTGGTGTATTTATTCCGACGATTCTGTTGAAAAACGTTTCTTAAACGGAAGCAAACGGAACAAAACAGGGATAAACATACCTGAATTTGTCTAATTTGTCACCTCAATTCTTTCACTTGACCTGTGTGCACCTACGTTGTAAACTTATATTCATATGCTAGGTTCTAGCAACCTCATGATGGGTATAGGGAAAATTTGAGTATCATATAGTAGCCAGTGGTGTAAAGTACTTAAGTAAAAATACTTTAAAGTACTACTTAAGTAATTTTTTGTGGTGTCTGTACTTTACTATTTATATTTTTGACTACTTTTACTTTTACTTCACTACATTCCTAAAGTACTTTTTACTCAATACATTTTCCCTGACAAAAGTACTCGTTACATTTTGAATGCTTAGCAGGACAGGACAGTTGTCTAATTCACATACTTATCAAGAGAACATCCCTGGTCATCCCTACTGCCTCTGATCTGGCGGACTCACTAAACACATGTTTCGTTTGTAAATCATGTCTGAGTGTTGGAGTGTTCCCCTGGCTTTTTTTATTTTATGAAAATGGTGCCATCTGGTTTGCTTAATAAAAGGAATTTGAAACGATTTATACTTTTACTTTTAATACTTAAGTATATTTTAGCAATTACATTTACTTTTGATACATAAGTATATTTAAAACCAAATACTTTTAGACCTTTACTCAAGTAGTATTTTACTGAGTGTCTTTCACTTTTACTTGAGTCATTTTCTATTAAGGTATCTTTACTTTTACTCAAGTATGACAATTGGGTACTTTTTCCACCACTGGTAGTAGCCTAAACCTATCGATGTTACATTGAACTGGGTGAATGGAATATGAATGATAGTCATCCAATATGCTGTAATAGAAATAAGGCCATCCTCATACATTTTGTTTGTCATCCTCCCTCATCTTAAATGGTACCGACCACCACTGGTGTCCACAGTGCATCATTTTATGGAATTGATGCTATATTTTCTTGTGTTATGTAAGGGATCATCAATGATGATTTGTGCAGTCCTATGGAAATATACCATGATTCAGGGGGTGATACGGCTCCTGAGGCATAAGCTGGGAATTGGTATATTTCCATAGAACTGCAGTTGATTATCCTGCTTATACCCCAGACTTAAAGGGATACTTCAAACTGCACGCATAGACATACAAATGGTATCCACGAGTTCATCTAACTCTGAGGAAGTAGATAAAGGGCCTCATTGCCAAAATCCTGAAGTATCTCTTTAAACGGAAACTAATAAATTATGTTCTAATTGACAGTACCCTACCACCATGTAGATTGTTAAAGTAATGTGTTTTTTATTTATAACAGACAGAATTTCATAAATGGCAGGTAGCTTAGTGGTTAAGAGCATTATGCCAGTACCTGAAAGGTTGCTGGTTCTAATCCCCGAGCCGACTAGGTGAAAAATCTGTTGATGTGCCCTTGAGTAAGGCAGTTAACCCTATTTGCTCATGTAAGTCGCTCTGGATAAGTGTGTCTGCTAAAATGTAAATGCACAACATTTTTGGAGCAAGAGATAGTTCACCTAAATTACAATATTACTGATATAAACGTATTATTTTTACTATGCAATGTATGATTTGTGCATGCAGATAACAACATGCTATTTGGGGTCCATTCACATGAATATATATTTGGTCATGAATGCATTAGGTGCTGTGGGAGGCCATGTATGGCTAAGTGTGGGTCGCTATCTCTCCTTGCCCTTTACTTTCAAGGTGAAGAAACACAAAAGTAATTTAATTATTTGTGTGAAGAATCCCTTTAACAGAATGTATATTTATGCATTGTTGAAATGCCTATAAATTATAAGCATCAGCAGCTCAATAAGTGATGAGTTGGCCTTGGGTTGTGATCCTAGGAGATGGTGTTTGGTCAGATTGGGTCAAGTGACAAAAACCTAGCAGCCGCATCAGGCACTGTTTAACTGTAGATTAATATGTCAGGAGTGCTGACATCTGGAAATATACGCAAACACAAATCAGATTAGGCCTCCATATCATAACTGAACATCAGCTCATATGTGTGGAGGTAAGATTGAAGAAAACATTTATTCTCATCGCTAGCTGCATACTGTGGAGTGGTGTCCATGGTATTAAATAATGTAAGATACTGCAAGCCATGGTATAAAAGCGATAATCAACGCGGGGCTCTATGCGTTGTCTGGAAAATAATGCAACTCCGTGGAATGTCAGTTCCACTCCGCTAGCGCTTCGTTGATTATTTTCCATAGAACGCATAGCCACTCTTTGATTATCCCTTAGATATTGCAAGCCTATACTGCATCCTACCATTTACAACAAAGATCCTAGTCTCTTTTTTTTAGGCACAGGCGCACTGTAAAGGGGTTGGCGGAATGATATTCACAAATTAACATGTGGCAGAACAGATTACAAGATAGGACTGACATTTTTTTTCTCCAGATCAATTCATATCAAGGTAAAAATGTAAGACAAACACTGCCGATATCAACTAGATCCACTAGAGTACATTGATGCAGAGCGCTATGTGAAATGACACACTTTCTGGTTCATAAAGCATGGTTGCTTGACTGGTATAAGAGACTGACGGTGCCTCTGGTTCTTTAACAGATGCTATTCGTGGCCATGTGGGAGAGCTGGGGATACCGTATGGGGTCGGCTGGAAATGTTGCCTTTCTTGGAAAGGCGGTTCAGTTGAATATGTAACATGGGCGAAAACAAGTGGAATTAGGGGGCCCTCTTGTGGCCAATCTGTTTCATTACATATTTTAAAAGAGACTACGGTCACACTTTACAGTAAGTGTCCCATTTACTACCATGTGAATACATTTCAGGGACACTTCTTGTAAAGTACAACTGAGACAGTTACTATCTGAGAAGGAGATACTTTACCGTATTATCATGAAGTAAACTTACCTCATAGTGGAAAACCGCAAGTGAGGTCAAATTGAACTAAAAAGCACCATACTCGTTAACAACGCTTCTCTTTAACAAAGTTTCAGTAAGGTGGGACTCCGTAGACAGCAGTGATAGTAACAAATTAATGTTCTTTAATAATGTTTTATTATAAACACCTACAAATATGTGCGGGTGGAGAGACAAATAGTTTAAGCCTTTCAACCTTCCTGTGGTGCATTATGGTCATAAAGTGAAGCAGTATAACAGGACAAAAGCTTGTACAATGGAGGCTACCTTTAGAAGAAAACACTTTACATGAACTATGCCTTATTAAGATTACATATTGCTATCATGTACAACTAGCTATTTTATATTTTGCTTCAGTTATAACAACTTTGCAGCAACAGGATAATAATAGTAACGCTAAAATGTGTCACTTGTATGATAGCATGATGTAAATCATATTCAACTTAAATAGTAACCAGTCTTTGATCATGTAGGGCAGTGTCCTGGAGTACCTCCAGGATTGCAAATTTTTGTTCTAGCCCTATATAAGCACACGTGATTGAACTAATCATCAAGCCCTTGATTAATTGAATTAGGTGTGCTAGTATTGACTTGTAGGAGTTTTGTGCACCCCTTGATGGTAATCGGGGACCAGAGTTGAGAAAGGAGGTTATAGGAGGAGTGGGAGCCATAGAGGATTCTATTTATATTTAGGGGAAGGGCTAGTTTCTGAGAAGCCAGGTGGGGGCGGAGCCATGGGCGTGGTTAAAGTAGCTCCACCACCACGGTTTCTCCTGCCTCTCCTCTCTGTTCTGGTTCTGCTCGCTAATGGTGTAGCGCTCAAACTGGTTGTAGGGGTCGAAGTGCTCATAGGTCCCCATGGACGGGATTCTATAGTCCTCCTCCATGTCAGGCTCCATCACAGCCTTCTGCAGGACAAAGTCCACCCGGCCTGCTTTCTGCATGCGTGCCGGGAGGTGGATCTTTTTCATGGCTCTGGTGTAGCCCGGTGCAGACGCGGTCAGGATGTGGATGCCGGCGGTTAGCAGGCGCCAGTAGTCTCCGTTTTCAGCTAGAGAGAGAGTGAGGACGTTTTTTAATCTAATGCTTACCACCCAGAGTCATACTGACATTTTCTGGTGAAAATGACCAATTGGAGAGGCTGACATTACCTGTGGTGATGTCATGCCTTATTCCTCTGACAGATATCCTTGCCCCTTTGATTCCGTTCCCGTCCTCATCCTTTACTATTCCCTTTATTCCACGGTGGACCTGGGAAACATTGGGACGCAGGGTTAGTGGAGAACTCGTCTCAGATTTGTGAAAAGGAGTGATGTTTTTGTAATGAAATGCTGGCTTTAAAGTCTCTCACCGACTCCATGAATGTGAGCAGAGCCTCTTTGTTGTCCTTCCAGCCAGTGTATAACTCCCCCTCAGCTGGGAACTTATCACAGCCCAACTCCACCGTCACCTCAAAACAGTTAGTGTGGAGGTAGTTGAAGTCCTGCATACCTGGTCACATGACGAGAAGCACAATGTACCAGTGATGAGAGCGTCTGCTAAATGACTCAAATGTAAATGTAATAGAAATGATTAACTCGCCATCTTCAGAATAGTGACAATAACTGAAGGCGCCACCAGGTGGCGGACATAGTTCACAATATAACGTGCTTATTAAGTGCAAGTTTTCATTGAGCCTGCGTCAGCTATTTCAATCACAGGAGGCAGGTGAGGGGAGGACGGTTCATAAGAATGTTTGTTTCCCGCCGTTCTTGATTTATTGCTTTTCTTTACATTCCAGCTGTTTGACATTTGACTGCATTGGTGGGAGCTAGTGACATCAGTATTTTGCTGCACTGCTATAACACCTGCTAAACAGTGTACGTGACCAGGAAACTTTCATTTGATAATAATAGCTGTGATGGACTGAATGGATTGATACCATTCCATTCATTCCATTACAGCCATTACTATGAGTCTGTCCTCCCAAATTAAAGGTGCCACCAGCCACCCGCTATATCTTTACTTCAACAGTCCTGGACTGTATTTAATTTGACTGTTTGTTTTTTTTACTTACCACCTGCAAAGCTGTACCACTTTGCTCCATTTATGATGCCATCCTGGCCGATGCTGCCAAAGCTATCACACCTTCCGGAGTTTTCTGACATGGTGGCATGGGCATCTGCATATGTTCTCGCTATTTGCTTGAATACCTGCAGCCAAAAATAAAAAAATATATTATTTTGGTCGTATTCATACAAAATATAATTGGTAGTTCTGTTTACCTTCACATTTTATTTGTTACGTTAGTTTGATTTGTTAGCAGCTAAGATACATTTTTTGCTTTCTTTACATGTCTGTTACATGATGACTGTCAAGGAAATAAACATTTAAAAAATCCCAAGAATGGGGTGATTAATCATTATAAATGTAGAGCATGAACAATCAATCGGACTTCTCTCTGCAATAGACACACTTCAGATCTTAAAGTGCAGTCCATCTTGGAGAGTGCTGTTGTCCTATTGACTGTACATGTTGCTGTCAGTCCTGCTTACCTGTTCGTCTGGCGTGGGGGAGAACATCGTCTGCTCTAGTGGGTGTTTGGAGAGGTCGTAGGGGTAGGACACCAACAGCTCCCCTCCGTGGAAGTTAGCTGAGAGCACAAATGGAATGGATCTGATCCACTTCATGACTGCGTATGCCTCTGGAGCTACCTGCATTATGACACACATAAAGACGAGCATATCAATTACAGTCAACATCTTTTGCTGGGCACATCAATACAACACAGGGTTTTGGAAATGATGACATAACACGGCACAATCAGGTGACGGTTAACAACAATTACCAATCATCAAGTTTTCAATTAAAACTTAATGATTGGTAATCAAAACTCAATTCAAACGTTGATATCTAACATTGAAGATACATTACACATCAATAATTCCAAATTACATTGAAAGCAGTCGTCACTGCACAATATTTGATGCATGTATTATTGTCCGCAAGCATAAAATCCCACACAAAATGCAAGCATGGATGTAAATGGATAGGAATTCATACTGTACCTTACCAAACCAGTAAGCATCTGGGATTGGGATGTGGTCGCTACGGAAACGTCTGTGTCTGCGCCGGCTGTAGACGATGGCGGTCAGGTCAGGGAAGTTCCTGTTCAGGTCAATGTTCTGGGCGTTGCCTCGACCCAGGGTCCAGCTGTTGTAGTTCTGAGCCTGTATAGTTCATACAGTGGTAGTTAGGTTGGTCTGTGAGTCACAGCAGACATATCAAAGCATACTGTAGGATCTGTGTTGTCAAGTAATGTGAAATCAGCCATAGTTTAAACCAAATATTGAGGCCCGTTGTTGAATTTCCAAAAAAGCTGGGAAACTGCATTAATACCCTAATACATTAATACCTTTCTGGCAAATGCAATTCGTTTTACACATTGATAATACAACAAAATATTTAAATGACGTGTCAACAACGTCGATTCAACCTACCTCCTCGTTCTCAGGGTCGATGGTGTCCTGGACCTCGGCGGCAGCCAGCTCGTAACCGTCTGGGTTCATGGAGGGCAGGATGTGGATCCGCGTGGTGTTGATCAGGGTCTGGACGCGCTGGTTCCCCAGCAGGTACTCTGAACACAGGTACTGGGCCAGATAGATCAACAGCTGGCGACCCAGCACCTCGTTCCCATGCATGTTTCCTATGTACTTCATCTCTGGTTCAACTGTTGATATAGAGCGACAGGATAGGGACTTCTTTTAAATGCTTTCAACCAGAAAGTCCATTGAGATGAATTATCTGTTTTTCAATGGAGACTTGGCCAAGACAGCAGCTTACAGTCATGTGCAACATTTAGAAACGTGGACATTGGCGAAATAGTAATTAAGGGCCCGATTCCGACCCGAGTTAAGCGTGCGTAAATGGAACATAATCCCCTTTTTATGCACTTTTCTCTCTGTGTATTCTGACCTTGAACTTAAGCATTAGAATAGCATGCTATTCACCGGGGTGGAGCTCAAATAAATGAAGGTGTGGCGGAGGTGTGTCTACAGATACGTCATATTCTGACCATGCATCCCACTGCTGACTTGCCTCGGAATCTAAGCAGGGTTGGTCCTGGTCCCTGGATGGGAGACCAGATGCTGCTGGAAGTGGTGTTGGAGGGCCAGTAGGAGGCACTCTTTCCTCTGGTCTGAAAAAATATCCCAATGCCCCAGGGCTGTGATTGGGGACATTGCCCTGTGTAGGGTGCCGTCTTTCGGATGGGACGTTAAACAGGTGTTCTGACTCTCTGTGGTCACTAAAGATCCCATGGCACTTATCGTAAGAGTAGGGGTGTTAACCCCGGTGTCCTGGCTACATTCCCAATCAGGCCCTTATACCATCATGGCCACCTAATCATCCCCAGCTTCCAATTGGCTCATTCATCCCCCCCTCTCCCCTGTAACTATTCCCCAGGTCGTTGCTGTAAATGAGAATGTGTTCTCAGTCAACTTACCGGGTAAAATAAGGGATAAAAAAAGTAGAATTCCCTGATAATTCCATCACCGTTACGCACGAGGAAACCATGAATAAGGTCCAACGAACCTACCGGTAAGTGGAAGAAGCATCTACTTAATTTTTTCGATTGAAATAACACCACTCTTTATGCACTGTAATTTACAACTCGATAAGAGATATTGATACGAGCTAGGTACATGAGTAATACATTTGGATAAGGGAATTGTAAATATAGGTTAAATGACACTTGTTTTAGATCTATTTGACCTTATAATCGCTGGAGATAAATGTAGAACCAGTCACATGGCAGCAAACTGAAGCATATCAACATATCAACTTTCACACAGTAAAGATGATGAAATGCTGTGCCATTATGCAGAATGTAAATTGTATGGCCTTTTAACTTGCAGGGATGGGCAGTCTCGAATATCTTAATGATAGTCTACCCCGACTTTCTCTGTGTCCTATTTCTATCATGTTAAATATTAACCACTATCAGTATCGACCATCAGTAGGCCTAATAACAACACATATTCAACTGCCAATTGACTGTTAGTTCCCTTCAGTTTGTATAGCCTACATTAGCATTCCATTTAATTCCATTGTTTAGTTTACATTCATTTGCTTCCTTGGTCATGGCTGTGTGGTTGTTGCTAAGGATCATTAGTAACAGTTGATAATATACAAAAAATGACATGTAAGCTAATTAAATCGTTACGGAGCGGAGCGCAGACCAAGCCGTAACCCAACGAATGCCGCAATACTTGGCCGTGTCATCTTGGCCATGTCATCACACAGTTCCATGGTTAGTGCAGGCAACAGACGAGGGTATAGTCTACTATTGTACACTATTCTCCCTATTATAATTATATGTACACTAATCTTCCAACATTACCATGGGTTGAATCAAACCACCGTTTTCTTTCTGTCATGCGTAAAGGCTCTCCAAACCTGTTTTTTATTACTCTTTAATACTTTCCTAAACCTAAATAATCTACAAGATCAGAGTATTTATAAATCTACCAATTGGTGCTGAAACGGAGACGAATATGCATATATTTAGATGGCTTTCTTTCATTGATCCCTAATATTCTGAACTTGTTCTCTCGAGTCTGTCAACAAAATTCTAACTAAAAGGTACACCGTATTTAAAGGGATGGCTTAAGATAAATGTACTGAAAACCCTATTGAATGAAATCTGTTGGCCAGCAAGTAGGAGGGTTTTCAGCAGTTGAATTACATTTATTCAGAGCACGCAAGGTAGCCACACCTGCAGGGCACGTTGTGCGACTGAATAAGGTAAATCTGAATACCAAATACTGAAGTGCGTAGGAAAGGCGTGCGTAGGAATGGCGTAAATTCCTAAGTTGGAATCAGCCCCTAATTGAATAGCATTGAGAGACATAATACACAGTTTAAGAAATAGCATTCCCAGGACTCACACTGTAACGCATAGAGGACCGTTAGTACTTACGCAGTTCATGTACTCCAGGGTTGTTTGAGAACTCTATCACTAGCAGGTCTTTGCCCTCCCCACTGCGGCCAATGCTGTAGGTCGTGGCGATTTCAGGGCATCTTGCTGCAGTCTTCTTCAGGATGCTGTTCATCTGGGCATTAGAGTGGTAGCTGAACTGGATGACAGTATGAGGCTTCTCAGAGGTATTACCTATACTGGCCTGGGCTTCCTTCTGTATCGCTATGATAAACAAGAGATGGTGACACTGTATGATAGTGATTTGTAAAGCATTTATAAGCACCTAACAGTTATAAGTATAATTGCTTATTTGTGGAAGTTATTATAAAGTGTAACCAAACATATAAAAGGTCAATATTGTTCCAAGCCAGTTTATGACACTTTTGTATTAACTAGCAAGTGTGACTTTTGATTCAGTGTCACAGAAAAGTTACATTTGAAAGCATAACCATGCTTCAATAAACCGCCTCATTGGGTGTATATCAAGATACCCCATTACTAAATGAGGTCTTAGTCTTTCATCTCATGTCAGAAAGTGGAAAAGGTCTACATTCTAGCCCCGTCCCTCCTGTATAAATGTGCTCATTTAGGCAAATGTGTCAGACCTAAAAGGTAAGAAACCGAACAAAGTTGAAACATAAGACAAAGTAAATATCAGCATGGAAATAATTACATAGCTTACTAGGGTTGCCAGACATCTGCTTGTGTTTCAGTTAGAATCAAATATATTTTTGGAAACAGATTTCATACTACACTAAAAGCTGTTATGCAAAATGTGGTACCACCATCTGTGTGAATATCTATACTCATCATATATATAATATGCATATTTATGATATATTTCAGCAAAAATGGCTACATGAACTGTTATTGTGTCGGTATAGGCTACTGTAGGACTTGTTAATGGTGGCATAGAGCAGCTGTAGAGATAAACAGAGAGAGAGAGTACACAGGAAGAGAGGACTCATAACACTCAGAGCAATCACACAGCTGGAGTGGTTGGTTGGTTGCAGCTACAGGGAGAAAAACTGTACTGAACTCAAGTTAGACTGATTACTGCTCTGGTGAACATATACTACAGTTGTCTGTTACCTATCAGTGTGAATTCAGAGACTTGTTAAAAATCATATATCTTGTACGAGGCAAGATATTAATGGCAGATATGTTAACGCCATTGCCTAGTGCCAACAAAGTGACACATTTACATACGTTCCCATATGGCTCACACATAATGTTATTGCGGTTGTCAAATCTCTAACATCTTGCTTATAGGTTCTTTTTGAGGGCTTTGTATAGTTGCTACAAATATAGATAATTTCTAGGTCACATAAGCCTAAGTTTTAAAGTAGATATGTCCATGTGTTGAGAGGATTGCAGCATAATAAAATAATCTGAAAAAACGGTGAATGTTAATGTAAGAAGGCATTTGAATTGACCTATAAATAGTTTAAGTACATTCTTGAGGTGTGCCACAAGGGCTCATGTGGTAACCAGGCGACTGTCATTAATCTGGATGTCACGACTTCCTCCGAAGCTGCCTCCTCTCCTGGTTCGGGCAGGCTTCGGTGGAAGTCGTGACACTGGATAGAAACTGCATTCTCAGTTGCCATTGACATAATCTTGTAATAATATTGACACACATGGTTCTCTCTAGTTGTACATTTTGCTCAAGGGATTGTTTTATGCATGAAAATATTATTTGAGTCAACATCATACTACACAGTTAGTGTCATACTGTTGTCACTATCATAGATTGATATTAATTTGTATGACACACCAGTTAAACTGTGGTCGTTACCTCGTAGGCCCTCCAGTGGGTCGTAACAGCCCTCCTGGTCACTGACAAAGAAGCGGTCACAGTCCAGGAAGTATGGCCACGCCATCTCGATGCCCTCGAAGGCGTGGTGACAGTTCTTCCTCACCGCCTCACACGTACTCCTGCACGGCTTGAGCACCTTACATTATAAAATAAAACGTTATTCAATTATTGAAAGCGCTGGGTTTTTTAACTGAAGAAGGCACTGCATTACCGAAATGTTGGTTATTAGGTTTACCCATTCAATTGTTGGGAGTATATATAGAGTGCAATTTAATTGAATGTATTTTTATTATTGAAAGTTGTTACATTCTCTGGTTTTATTATGTTATCCATTGTTAGCATCAAACCTTCTCCTTCTCGCAGCGAGGCACCAGCACTGAACAGCCTAGCATGCGGATGTCCGGGGTGCACTCTCCATTGAGCAAGTTGTGGACCACACTGAGGAGGAGGTACTCGGGGCCCAGCTCAGCCTCCTCGCGGGTCCTGTGGCCCAGGATGTTGGGGAACATTGTGTGGGTGTAGGACATGTCGTCGCAGTAGTTCATCATGATGTCCATGCACTTGGCTGGGTAGAAAAAAAGAGGCAACCAAGGAGCAGGACAGATGGAAGATATTCAGTATTATATGGTGAGTGTGATCTGAATGTAGCTTACCGTGTTGAATCATCAATGCATAGAATACATACCGTTACATCAATAGGTTACATGTAATGTAACATCATTATGCAATGTGTCATAATACCATTTATTGTCTTATAATTTTATGGAATCTTTGCAATTAACTTCTGTGAGACCTTTGGATGCTTTTGTAAGTTGGGTGGCAAAATATTCTTAGAACAATTTGTTTGTTATAAATAATTTTCAGGTAGGCGTGGTGTTAACCTGCTTGCAAGATGCTGCTTATGAGCCCATATGTTCTCTCCATTGTAAATCAGGATGTTTAGGGGTATTGGCCAAGTTGTTCTTGCTCTTGTACCTTTACATTTGTTCTCAGTTCATTTGTTTAAGAAACATAGCTAAAATGTTCAGTACACAATAAGGCTCATTACTCATTTCCTTGGCATGGAAAACGTACATAACCTGATATCAAATGGTCATATGGATATGCATGCAAGAATCCATCCCTTTGTCTAAAACTTTTTTATTGTCTCATATAGCTAGCTACCTCTCTGCAGTACTGACAATTATCAAGTTCAAATATTTCTATTATCAGTGGAGATTAAAATGTGAATATTTCATACAGCCATTTATCATCCAAAAATAGTATTGATAGCTCGGCCTTAAGGCCATAATATCCCATTTAGCCTAATCACATAGTAAGACTTCATCTTTAAAAGTGTGATAGGTAGTTCAACCTGTGGTTTGATAACATGCTATAAATGTACGGTCCTTTAGGCCTTCTTTCTGTATGAACAGTAAGTACTAAGCTATGTGACTGTGATGCAATGCACACATCATGTTAGGATGCTTTCAATTGGTTTAGAATAGTCAGTTAGTCATAATAACCTTTGCATATGTTGTCACCAAGGCTTTACAAACAACACATTTACATGAGTTGAAGGATTTATTGAAGAAGATAACATTTACATACGTTGTTCTGGTTCTGGTTCTTTGCAAAAGCTACCTGAAAGACAAAATTATTGTTAGTTGCTGTCATGCATTTAACACTAGATGGCAGAATCGCATTTATCACCAGCGTTATTGTGGCAATATAAAGTCTGCTCTTATCTTGCTTCACCATCTCTCCTCCCAAATGTCTGTCTTTCAGTAAATACTTATTCATGCTGAGAATTGTCATTCTTTGGATCATGTGACCTCTCACTAGTGATGAATATCTACCTCAATCTTTATAGTCTACAATTCTATAATAATTCTCTAAAGAAAAATAAGGATTTTATTTCGCACTCATTTGTGACACGAGGTTATTTTTTATTCTTGTTACTGTTGGCTTGTAAATAAAAATGGTGAATAGAAGCATCACAGTTTGCATGTCTTGTCTGAGATATAATGAAATATTTCTGAACCATGCACTTTTATTTCAGAACTAGCCGAAACACTATGATTTCTTTCCTATGCACAAACACATCATGTGCGTTATCATAAACAGCAGAGTTGGCCTACTTTACCTAGAAATTCGTCTTCAGGGTCGCAGAGCGAAGGGGCACACCAGACAACTGTTGCCAGTGCATTCAGAAAAACAATAGTCTTCATTTTCCTCCGTATAAATTCCATATTTTGTGATGTGGCACCTCAAGGCTACTGTGCTTAATTGCAAGAAAACTTTCAAGGCTTCCCTAAAAAGTGAGTTTATTACACGAATTACGGTTGAATATCAAATTACAAACGAAAATGTTCCGGACGGAAGTGGAAGGCTGGATGGAGGGGGAATCGTGCCTGAAAACAAGTAAACTTGCGCAAGTAAACTTTCTGAAATACACCTGTTACCAATTCCTATCCTCTAAACAGTTTTGCTCAACCATTTCCACCACTTTCTTATTCAATTTTAACCTTTTAATTTCTTACCTCAAAATGTATGTATTGGATTATGTGAACAGTGGACATTCTCTGTAAAATAATAGGCCACTATTTTTTTCCGTCAGTGCTATCCGGGATCTTTAGGACGACCCCTAACCTTAACTCCTACCCTTACCCTTAACCATAACCATAACCCTCACCTTAACCACTCGACATCTCAACTTCAATTGGGTAGGGACTTCCCAATGATTTCGAATAGCACCGATTTGTGTTTTTCTTGGCGCGTTTTTCCAGTCCTTTAGTCCTTGCTCGAGCAAGTCCTTTGATCCCTTTCAACCAATCAGCAATATGCTTTGAAGAACGTCAGCATAGGGTAGAGTGGGGTAAATTGGACCAAAGGGGTATGTTCAGCATGGGGGAGAGTGGGGTAAATTGGACCAAAGGGGTATGTTCAGCATGGGGGAGAGTGGGGTAAATTGGACCAAAGGGGTATGTTCAGCATGGGGGAGAGTGGGGTAAATTGGACCAAAGGGGTATGTTCAGCATGGGGGAGAGTGGGGTAAATTGGACCAAAGGGGTAAATTGAGCCACCTTGTTTCTAGGAAACCATACACAAAATTAATCAGTTGATCAAATATTTAGGAAGAGGTCATTATTTCATGGAGTCTGTGAAGGAAGAAACCACATGGAAAAAGTGGTAAGCAAGTTAGGTCCAAAGAACAGATTTTCACCAAGTCAAATGAATTTATTGTGTTAGAGGTTTCATGATGCTTGTATTTAAACCAAAGGAGATTATTTTAAGATTGTATACATCAGTTAGGGTCTCTATAAACTTTAAAATGAGGTCCTAAACCTAGGATGAAAGTGTGTCCTTGTAGCTGTGTGGGCTAATCAGGGGTTGGAACCGGTTAAGGGAGCAGAACCGAAAACAGATTTTATTTTTTCTTGAGGAACACAGTCAGAACTGGGAATGAATGTGATCTATACTGTTCTGGAACATAACCGTTATTTTAAAAGCATGGGAACCGGTTAATAACGTTATTTTACGTTCCAGTAATTTTTTTCAGTCCCATAAAAAATGCTACAAGGCACCTTATGTAAAGCCCTCACTCTGTCACTCAGAAACGTATTCCAGTGTCTGCCTGCCAGCTGAAAATATTTGCCAGTGTGTGCGTGTAGGCTACCTGCCCCTCCCCTCAGAAGCTTAGGCTAATGTAGCCTATTGACGTTACAAGCATGATTCAGAAATTAGGGAGAGATTTTTAATTAGAGAAGAATGGATTAACATTTTCAATGTTAGTTAAGGATACTGTAGTTATCATGTTTCACATTTAATTTATTAACTACAAAAAGGTAAGACGTGTTTTTAATTCTGTTGCTGCTCTGCACACACAAGCTTGTTAGCTAGCTAGCTCTGGTTCAATGTTAAGCCAACTCTTGGAAGTTCAAAGATATTCCAAGTTCCTCCGTAGAAGCCACTCATCCGTAGGTATAATTATGTGGGCCAAGCCTCCTCCTCCATCCTCTCTTGCTCTCCCCACCTGCAAAATTTCAGTCGCATCTCGCACCCTGCACTTGTCTGTCCATCGCGCATGTAAACAATAGCTTGCCCGCTCAATAGCAAGCTGCTTTGTTAGGGGCCTCCCGAGTGGCGCATCAGTCTAAGGCACTGCATCGCAGTGTTGCTGCGTCACTACAGCCTGGGGTTCGATCCACAACCGGCTGTGACTGGGAGTCCCGTAGGGACTGCACATTGGTGCAGCTGGCTTCCGGGTTAAGCGAGCGGGTGTTAAGAAGCAGCGCGGGTTGGTGGGTCATATTTCGGAGGACGCATGACTCGACCTTCGCCTCTCCTGAGCCCGTTGGGGAGTTGCAGCGATGAGATAAGATCGAAATTGGGGAGAAAAGGGGGGTAAAATAATAATAATCAAAAGGAACTGTTGGAATGATATAAACCGGTACTGTTTTTGGGGTTGAAGTTGAACCAGTTCAGAACTTTATTTTGCAGGTTTGTAATAATTAAAAGACAAAAGGCGATTCTGATTGTGTTTGGGGAGTAAAGATAGACATGGTTTTAAGAAATGTGTAGGCTGCTTAACTTACCCTGTCCCGCTGCTTAACTTACCCTGTCCCGCTGCTTAACTTACCCTGTCCCGCTGCTTAACTTACCCTGTCCCGCTGCTTAACTTACCCTGTCCCGCTGCTTAACTTACCCTGTCCCGCTGCTTAACTTACCCTGTCCCGCTGCTTAACTTACCCTGTCCCGCTGCTTAACTTACCCTGTCCCGCTGCTTAACTTACCCTGTACCGCTGCTTAACTTTCCCTGTCCCGCTGCTTAACTTACCTTGTCCCGCTTCTTAACTTACCCTGTCCCGCTGCTTAACTTACCCTGTCCCGCTGCTTAACTTACCCTGTCCCGCTGCTTAACTTACCCTGTCCCGCTGCTTAACTTACCTTGTCCCGCTGCTTAACTTACCTTGTCCCGCTGCTTAACTTACCCTGTCCCGCTGCTTAACTTACCCTGTCCCGCTGCTTAACTTACCCTGTCCTGCTGCTTAACTTACCTTGTGCCGCTGCTTAACTTACCCTGTCCCGCTGCTTAACTTACCCTGTCCCGCTGCTTAACTTACCCTGTCCCGCTGCTTAACTTACCCTGTCCCTCTGCTTAACTTACCCTGTCCCGCTGCTTAACTTACCCTGTCCCGCTGCTTAACTTACCTTGTCCCGCTGCTTAACTTACCCTGTCCCGCTGCTTAACTTACCTTGTCCCGCTGCTTAACTTACCCTGTCCCGCTGCTTAACTTACCTTGTCCCGCTGCTTAACTTACCCTGTCCCGCTGCTTAACTTACCCTGTCCCGCTGCTTAACTTACCCTGTCCCGCTGCTTAACTTACCCTGTCCCGCTGCTTAACTTACCCTGTCCCGCTGCTTAACTTACCCTGTACCGCTGCTTAACTTACCTTGTCCCGCTGCTTAACTTACCTTGTCCCGCTGCTTAACTTACCCTGTCCCGCTGCTTAACTTACCCTGTCCCGCTGCTTAACTTACCCTGTCCCGCTGCTTAACTTACCCTGTCCCGCTGCTTAACCTACCCTGTCCCGCTGCTTAACTTACCTTGTCCCGCTGCTTAACTTACCTTGTCCCGCTGCTTAACTTACCCTGTCCCGCTGCTTAACTTACCCTGTCCCGCTGCTTAACTTACCTTGTCCCGCTGCTTAACTTACCCTGTCCCGCTGCTTAACTTACCCTGTCCCGCTGCTTAACTTACCTTGTCCCGCTGCTTAACTTACCCCATACCCGGTGTAAGTTGTGCCAAGAGACCACTTTTTTTTGGATAAGCTATGTTTTGAAATATGTAATGTTTACATGAATTCTGATTATTTCCAGGGATACACAACATCCTGAAATACAATGCCCTCTGTAATATTTGGGACAGTGAAGCATTTTTCTTCTTTTGGCTCTATACTTAAAACGTTTGGATTTGAAATTAAACAATGACTATGAGGTTGAAGTTCATTCATATCAGGTGAACCATTTAGAAATTACAGAACTTTTTGTAAATAGTCCCCCCATTTTAGGGGATCAAAAGTATTGGGACAAAATGTTGCCATTAACTGATCCTCTGGAGAGTGTAGTCGTTCTCTGTGTCCAGAGAGCTGTTGTGGCCAGACGAGGGGTACAGGTCACGGCGCAGCAACCGGTTGACGACGGTTACCAGGACCTTCTTGTACAAATATCATACCCCCTAAAAAAATGATACCCTCCCCCGTTATTGTAATGGTGAGAGGTTAGCATGTCTTGGGGGTATGATATTTGTACATCTAACTTTTTTCACTCATCATTATTCACGATTCATTCAGGATTATCGATAATCATGGTAGCATCCACATGAATGTAGAAGTGTTTAGAAACATATTATATTCTTATGTACAATAAAAGTGCCTCCAAAATGACACAATACATTATTTACCATTAATTTCTATTGGACACAATATAATCTGAAACACAACCAAAGCATAGAGCAAATGCATTCAACAAATGTGTAGAGTCACAAGCTTGATGGAGTCATTGTGTGCTATGAATATGGGACTTAATAACTTTTGACTACTTTAATACACACATAAGTGAATTTGTCCCAATGCTTTTGCTGTACAAAAAGTGTAATTTCTAAACGGTTCACTCGATATGGGTGAAAATACCCTCAAATTAAAGCTCAGTCTGCACTTTAACCTCATAGTCATTGTTTGATTTCAAATCCACATTTTTGGAGTGTGGAGACAAAATAAGAAAGAAATGCTTCACTGTCCCAATAATTATAGAGGGCACTGTATATGTAGATATCTTTGTTAGAAAGAATACCATATTTCCCTTGACGGAGTGATGCTGAATGTTTAAAAATGGCCCAATTTACCCCACTCTCCCCTACATATCCTACTTCTTGACATTCCTATTGGATTATTTGAGGTGTGGTGGCACAAACATTGAACAGCCTCTGGCACCTGCAAAACAGCTGGTAATACATCTGCCAACATGACATCCCCAGATGGGCATTAGATATTAGATATGCTTCTACATGCCTCTCTTGTCATATGGCAATATGTATCAAAGGATGCTTGTTATTTGACAGCTTTATTGCACGTTTTTCACAAACAGCTTTACTCACATACTGCCAAAGTACAGCAAGTGGCATAGGCCTGCAGAATGAAATAGTCTTGTGCCTGGTGCATATAAAGAAACAGGTTCTGATAAAGCAACTCTATTGTAAAGCCAAACAGTCATATGTTGAATACTGGCACAAACACAATAACGTGTTTTAAAGCACTTACTTGAACATAACATTCTTCCGCTATAGCACGTCTCTTTTGTTTTAAGATCATTTAAACAAATAAATATTATGGTTTCTCATACAGTGCAAAATAGTTTGATAAAGATAACATCCGGTATTTATAAATATCCATATAAACATTTCCAGCAATCACCTGGCAGAATAAAGTATGTTACTAAATATACAATAGTACAAATCTATTTCAGTCAAAAGTATCTTTATACCTGTAGTACATTTAAGATATAAGGCATGAGGGGGTGTGGTATATGGCCAATATACCACGGCTAAGGGCAGAGTGCCTGGATACAGCCCTTAGCCATGGTATACTGGCCATATACCACAAACCTCCAATGTGCCTTATTGCTATTATAAACTGGTTACCAACGTAATTAGAGCAGTAAAAATAAACGTTTTGTCATACCCGTGGTATATGGTCTGATATACCACGCCTGTCAGCCAATCAGCATTCACGGCTCGAACCACCCAGTTTATAATCAGTTACAACACGCTATCATAGTAAACATGATGGCATTTGCTTTTGGCTCTTGTAACTAGTAGCTCTGAGAGAAATACAAAGTGCATCAATATCCAGTGATTGATGTGAAATTGTGAGCAACTGCAGTAGTAGTCTAAAACACAGTCCATAGGCTACATAACATGGCCATCTAGTTGGCAGCACTTGCCACAGCGAGTACCATTAATTGAGAAGTTCACATATTTTAACTTGCCCCTTGAAATTGCACCAGTGCCCGGATGGCTACTGGTCAGCCGCTAGCTAAGCTTTCCCATCTTCCACTCTGTACCGTTGACACCCAGAATGAACATCTTGCGAATCTTGTCAGATCCTCCACTAAGTTCTGGGGGAGATGTGTTATAAAATATACTAATGAGACCAGCGAAGTCTCCACCCCTCTATACGAAAACTCTCAGCCAGTTTAGGGCAAGTCTGTGGCCCAAATGTCCCCTCCCCTTCCGAAATTCGAAAGATACCTGCAAAATCGTGATTTGTCCAAGTGATCAGTGACAAAAAATCAGACAACCGGAACAAAGTTCCTCGTTAGTCATGGCATCCCACAGTCTGTCGACAGCTGCTACTACCATTTATGTTACGTGCATCTGTCCACGAGAGATTAATAACCTTCATAGCATGTCCCTGTATTCTATATGGGTGTCAAAAGGTCTGTAAACGTGGCTATGACATTTCCTTTATAAAGAGGCTTTATAAGAGCCCACTAGTATTCAGTCTCTAGTGGAGTGTCCCTCCCTTTATGATTTGACCGAGCCCCTGGCTGATTCAATAACATTGATTCATTTCATTCTGGCTCTGGGTGTGCGTGCGTGAGTGAGTGTGGCTTTGCCAGTAAATCATGGATCATCAGACTCCCTTGTTTACCAATATCATCTGGAGCAAACGTCCGTGAATGCGATCATTCTCTGTGCAGTCTATCCATCTTGCCCTCTCTTCATCCATCTACCCCGCCTGTTTTCCTGCTGTCTCATTCTATCCACCTCATCCTCCTCTTCCCCTCCCACAACCTATCTTTCCCTCTCTCTATCTCTCTCTCTCTCTCTCTTTCCCCCCCTCTCTCTCTTTCTCTCTCTCTCTTTCTCTCTCTCTCTTCCTTCTCTCTCTCACCTCCCTCCCTCTTTCCATGAGGAAACCTTTATTTTGGGTCTGTCTGTCTGTGGTATATTTGTTATGTCCAAAATGGTGCCATTAACTGATCCTCTGGAGAGTGTAGTCGTTCTCTGTGTCCAGAGAGCTGTTGTGGCCAGACGAGGGGTACAGGTCACGGCGCAGCAACCGGTTGGCGACGGTTACCAGGACCTTCTTGTACTGTAGACGCAGGAGGGAGTAGGCAAAGGGGTCGGACGCGGCCTTGCTGTATGTCAGGCACTTACTGACGATTCCCCAGTGGCGGTTGATGCCCACGAAGGGAAGCAGCTCGGTCAACCTGAGGAGAAGGCAGAGGCCAAGTTAGAGTTCGCAAATAGCCTTTTAGAAAGGGTAAATGTTATCCGATATTCAAAGCATGGGATTTATCTTGCAGGCATTGTTCTGTTTGCTTTCGAGAGTGTTTGGTGATAATTCAGTTGTTATTCTATGAAATGCCATGAGGCTCTAAGGTTACAAGGTACAATAGAATAAATTAGGTTTTATGGATGGGCCAGAAAAACACCTTGGGCAACAAAGCATTATACTTAAGGAAATAATAACGTACAAACTTTTCTTCGAAAATAAATATGTATAAGCTGAACATTGCTACAATATTCTTGCCCATAGGTATATGCAGAAATGCCAATGAAGCAGTTGAGTGATAGAGGATAAATCCTGGAAATAAGCAGCTATTTTCCCTTCCTGAGGTCATTCCGACTATTTCAGAGGTGCACAGGGGGTGAAAGGTTGCCAATTACGTACATTTTCCTCCATCATTTGTTTCATTATTCCAACCCCAACCCTCTCTAGACCCCACCTTTCAGCCCCACACACACTATCTAAACTAGGGATGGGCAACTGGCGGGCCCCCCCTTTGGAAGGTCCTCGGATCAATTTGCCAAAATAAATATTTTTATTTTGGGGGAACTCAGTCAGAGTATCAACTTACTGTTGCGAGTTAGAATAGTAGAATACACAAGGAGCATTTTCGAAATTTGGTTGTGCATCAGCAGTTTTTCTCTTGTTATGTCAGTCACTGATAGTCAGTCAATTAGCCCATGTCAGCTAACATTTGTTTGATTGCTAAGTTAGTTTAGTGGCCAGCTATCTAAACTTGTTATCATGGTCGAATTACCGGCCGGGGGGCCCCCATTAGTTAGTCTCATATTAAAACTTCAAACATTTCTCTCCACCCTATGGCAAAATGTGTAGAATTGCAGCAAACTTGCTATAAAATGGCAACACTTCTATGGAACTCCTGTTATTCCTAGCCAGGCACCAGCCCACAACTACTGGGTGGTAGCCTAGCGGTTAAGAGGTTGAGACAGTAACCGAAAGGTTGCTGGTTTGAATCCCCGAGCTGACTAGGCAAAATCTGCCGATGTGCCCTTGAGCAAGGCACTTAATCATAATTGCTCCTGTAAGTTGCTCTGGATAAGAGCGTTTGCTCAAATGTAAACTACATTGCTATATTCCCTCTAGGCCAAGCTTTTCCAAACTCGGTCCTGGGGACCCCAAGGGGTGCACATTTTGGTTTTTGCCCTAGCACTACACAGCTGATTGAAATAATCCAAGCTTGATGATTAATTGGTTATTTGAATCAGCTGTGTAGTGCTAGAGCAAAAAACAAAACATGCACGCAGGGGGGTCTCCAGGACCGAGTTTGGGAAACCCTGCTCTAGGACATGCTGTGCGTTCTTGGAAATAAAAGCCTCTTTGTGTGATAACTGTCATCTCATGGTGGTTCAGTGAAATTACTTGATAACAGATAATGGATTGTTTAATGAAGGATGTTTCAGATTCAGATGGAGATCATTGTCATAAACATGCAAAAACCCTCATTGGGTGAAATTGAATTAAAGCTTCAGTTGTGCATTGCTCAATCTTGCATGTGTACTGCCTCACCTTTCAACTGAATTTTGTTTAATCATTTTTCAGTTATTTTGCTGGGTGGCAAAGTTATTAAACAATGTAAACCCTTCGATGATAGCCTATATCTTTACTATTCATAAGCTGAGTTTTATTATCAAAGTCTGTTCACCTGGTGATGTGTTAATCTCATAACCTACATAATAACCCCTTTAATAATGTGTGTTTATGGTAGGTGAATGAAACTCCTGTTTGTTCAGCTGCCTGTATCCCAGTTTACTGGAAACCCACTTACCTTGTAATAACATAGGGAGCAAAACAGATAATGAACGACCCAATGAAAATGCTGATTTTCTTGGTGGCTCTCTGTTTCCTTCTCTTTTGCTCTACCAGACACCTTTGTTTCACACTGAAAATAGGAATTAACTGATATTAGTCCAACAGAATAATTGACAAAACATTCTACATTGAATATGATTATATTTCTCTTTTTTTAACACCTTCTAAGCATGTTTCCTCAGGGTTGACACTATAACCTCCATCATAGCCTACTGGAAAGCTATTACTGCTCATTGTAACGGCTATTGATTGCACACCTCTTAAGTAAAGGAGCATACGTACGATGGGTGAATATCCACCAGCAAGAACAGGGTCTGCATGGTTATAACGTCAATCCTCTTGCAGTGGAAGCGTGCAACCTTTAACACCTTCAGATAGGTGAAGCACAGGATCAGAAGGGAGAGCATGAAACTGCTGGCGTGGAAAACGACGGTGAAAATTGTAAACTTCATCCTGTCGCTCTCCTCGCTCAAATGCAATGTGCACGAGGCGTAGATGTGGCTATAGTCAACCCAGGAAAACAGGAGGGCGATGAGGGAAAACGTGAGGGAGTGGAGCCACGAGTAGCACATCATGATCACTGCATCCTTGTAGCGCATTTTACTGGAGTAGCTCAAGGGAAAGACCACCGCTATCCACCGGTCTATACTGAGTGCTGCCATACTCAACATAGTGTTCGCAGTCAAAAAGGTCTCCAGAAAGCTAACTGTATGGCAAAGGCAATCCCCAAAAGGCTGGTGGTTTCTGACAATCCCCACCAATGTCGATGGCATGTTTAAAAGGGTGATAAGTATGTTGCAAAAAGACAAGTTCATGATGAATATACCCGGCACCTGTCGGCGGATCTCGGTGCTCTGGACAAAACATAGCAGCACCAGCAAGTTCGACAACAACGACACAATTGCGACCACAACGATGAACAACGCGAAGATAATTTCCGCAAAGTCCATATCTCACTTGAAAAAGTCAACTTGCGTTTTGCATGCACCTGTAGATAATATACACTTAATATCCACCATGATTCCGCCGTCATTTATCTCCAAGGTCCTCATTCCCGAATTTAACTCCTACAAGTTTCGCCGTCTCCAAGTTGGTGGAGCGCTGTCCAGAGTGCTGAAGTGGGGAAACCGCGCGCCTCTCTAGCACCAGACCATTTCGTTTCTTTAAACGTATGGATTTTTCTACTCCCACACCACACAGGTATTTGCAACAGAATTCGATGGTATGTGTAATTGAGCGTTTGGGTAACACATGGGCTAATGTTTCATATCTCCTCTCCCTCCTACAACTACCTCAGCATGAAAACAGTGGGACTGCGACGCACCCAACTGCCTTTGTGCGCAGAACATGCGTACTAAACAAGACGACTGTTTGGAGCCTGCCCTGTCTAGTGCGAAGTCGTTTGAATATTAATATTAAAATGATCTATCACGTGAGGAAAAAGAGAACGTCATCCATGGAGTTTGACAACATAGTTATTATTTTGATTCCTCCATTGATTCATTCGTTCTTTTAGTAATTTAAGAGTGTGTTTGTGAGGTCATACACATCAGACCACAGCTAAAATTATTGTTTTTGATAATTAATTCCCAGAAACAACTTCCTTGCATCCTTATCTATTGATTCAACTTTCCCAAATCGATAGTGGGTCAGCGATTTGTGATATTTAAGAATTAGGCGCTTCTCCCGTGGCCAAAGGGAACCCTGTGCACATTGTAGGGGCGCGCAGGGAAACAGGCGAATAGATCTGTTTCCCTCTCATGAATTATTAATTAACCCTGAGCAATTGTATAAGGGTGTTACAACTGAAATCTGTCTCACGTGTTTTGTAGTAAAATATGCATATCACCAATAATGGCCTATTAGCAATGAATGGTTGGAAGAGAAGGCACATCACTTCAATGCTTAACACCATGCACCCACAATAGTTAAATTGCTTCATTATAATATTATGTAATATTTCACTGGAGATGGGCATGTCACAGAGAGGCATACCATAAAAATGATAAGTGTTTGCATATTCATGAGGTAATAACTCTTACCTCATCTGGAGGGAAAGTAGAGTACATCCCTAACAGCCTACTAGCATTATTTACATGCCAGAGACGAATTAACTCATCACTGATGCTAATGAAGTAAATGTTCTATGGGGATCTGAAAAACCCATCCTCAGTGAAACTGTGATGATAATGTGCAACTTTACTACTACAAGCCTCATCATCAGCCTCAATGATGTAAATACAGTCTATTTAATCAAACATAAAGTGAAGTTTAACAGTTTTGATGTTACAGAACTCCAAAAGCCAGAATAGCAGCACTGTAATGGACAACAGACTGATATGAGTCATCAGCCAATGAGGCCAACAAGGGTCAGACAGTCTCTTATAGCTGTGGTTTTTGCTAGTCCAATTGTATTTTTCATTTTTTTATTATTCCACAAGGTGTAATAAAATCCAGCCCTCACAGAGTCCATCTGGCTCTTATCATTACAATCATTAATATGGTAAATGTACTGTTAAAATATAAAATACAGTATGCAATACCATGTACTGTCGCTATTGTGTGTATAGGCTCTGCAAATTCATGTGAATCTTTTGTACCGGTTTTTATGAGCTGCACTAGGTCAAATTCCCAACAACTTCAGTTGGTATGGCAATGAAGTATTCAATCTTGAATCTGAATCTTGAACATTTCCAGTTCTGAACCAGTGTGCTAGTTACTGTAGACTAGGAATATCACCCTGATGAGGTTAAGGTACTATAGCTCTAATATCACCCTGATGAGGTTAAGGTACTATAGCTCTAATATCACCCTGATGAGGTTAAGGTACTATAGCTCTAATATCACCCTGATGAGGTTAAGGTGCTATAGCTCTAATATCACCCTGATGAGGTTAAGGTACTATAGCTCTAATATCACCCTGATGAGGTTAAGGTACTATAGCTCTAATATCACCCTGATGAGGTTAAGGTGCTATAGCTCTAATATCACCCTGATGAGGTTAAGGTACTATAGCTCTAATATCACCCTGATGAGGTTAAGGTACTATAGCTCTAATATCACCCTGATGAGGTTAAGGTACTATAGCTCTAATATCACCCTGGTGAGGTTAAGGTACTATAGCTCTAATATCACCCTGATGAGGTTAAGGTACTATAGCTCACATAACTCCTGTATAGCAGTAATGAGACACCATTGAAGGGTCCTGGGGGAGTGTGTGTGTGTGTGTGTGTGTGTGTGTGTGTTACAGCTGAGCTCCTGGGCCATGATGGGGATGTCACCTCCAATATAACCCCCCCACCTCCCACTGTATTACCTAATCTGAGGTGGGCACAGGGGAGATGCAATTGGGTGATGCACAGTATTCACCCCCAAATTAGATGAAAATACCCTCAACTTAAAGCTGACAGTCTGCACTTTAACCTCATAGTCATTGTTTGATTTCACATCCAAACTTTTGGAGTGTGGAGCCAAAAGAAGAAAAAATGCTTCACTGTCCCAATAATTACGGAGGGCACTGTAGGTGAATCCAATAGAGGTCTAAGGTCTTATCGAACCATTCAGGGCACACATCTATGAACTAAGATGAGATCTTGCTTATTTTATAATATAGCCAATCAAAAGGGTCAGAGGTCAGCCCATTTAGTATTGAGGATGTAGAGATATTTACTGAGGGCTAGGGATATAAGCTTATAAGGTAATTCAACCCTAAAGACGGTCAACTTTTCCACACCCTCAAGGGACATGACACCATAACGTATGGATCAATGTCTTTGAGACACTTTGAAAGTAGGCCTATAGTTCTACAAATGAAGGTCATACTTCACTTGATTATTATGGAATCATCCCATCACACAGTTCTTTGTCAATGTTGTCAGAGTCAGCCTTAAAATACAGCTCTATATTAGACATTGATGTTAGGATGCATGCCATACACTTATAGGAAGTCAACCAAGTGTAATTTCTTGACACACAATCAACATCATCCTATGGCACTGATTTCACATACAGTACATCTAATGCCATTCTAACCTGAATGAAAAGTAATAGAAACGTAACAATCGGAGTGCAGCCATATATTTATATAAAATGTGTATTTATTTATTTAGCATTTACATTTACGGCTCTGAAACACTAGAACACTAAACTCATAACAGCTTCCATGTCTAGCATACTAATTTGACGTTTAACTGCCTGTAGATAGGTTTGCGTGATACTTTATTTAACCTTTCGTGTATTTGTCAGTTGACTGTGAACAAGACAACAGGTTGTCATTTTTAATAGCTACCTGGAAAGAGGCAAATGGCATAACAAAGATTTGAAAAAAAAACAATCCATTGCATTCTATATTTAAAGGGGAACTCCACCCCAGAATTTTACTTTGATCTGGGCCATATTCAACAGCGTACAACCATTTGGAATGTTCAGATAGATGTTTTGTATAACAGCATTGTCTCTCTGATATGTGGAGTGAGAAATCCTGTCATATTCATTACATGTTTCACCCTCCTTTGACTCTGTTGCTTCTCGTACTTCGTATCATTATTTTACCCCAAACTCCCCTAACTAGCCTAAACGGCCATAGAACTGGACAGTACCTAAGCCCACTGAATCATAGTCTTAACAGCCATATTACCTTCACTCCACACGGTAGTTTTGTTGTGAGTGTCTCTTCTGTGTTTTATGAGACATCTGGTGTGAAATGTTATTGAAAATCGAAGCTTAGTACTGCCTAACAGTGTGCTGGCAAACAAAGCAGCGTGAAATAGCTTTCGTGAGTCGCCTCCAGCTGCTACAGGTAATCCGTGGGAGTTGTTTTGATGAGTCATGTTCCCATGGCAACACAGGAGTCAGAGAAGTTATCGTCCATCTTTGGCACCTATTTGTGTTTTGATGTAGATTTAAATATCTTTTATGGTCTTGTTTTTCCCACTGAGACAGATTTTGAGACATTTCTTAGGTATCTCTGTTGTCTCAAATTCCTATGTCACCAACTCACCCCTCATAATCTTGAGATGGTGAAATTGAAGCAATGTGTGTTCATCTTTACTGTATCTAAGCAACAGGGGAACTTTTTTGACAGTATTATGTGGCACTAAGAATATACTGTGTGTGTGACAAGTGACGCAGGTAGAGAAGTTTGTTTGTATGCCACAAGCCTAAAGTCCTATAACCACACCAATATCTGAACATCAACGCCAATATCTGAACATCAACGCCAATATCTGAACATCAACGCCAATATCTGAACATCAACGCCAATATCTGAACATCAACGCCAATATCTGAACATCAACACCAATATCTGAACATCAACGCCAATATCTAAACATCACACATCATATTTGAATCATATTTTCATACTGCATTCATAACAGTTCTCTAATTAAACGGTATCATCACTAGCCTCTAATAAGGTACGGTTCTTTCTAATAACCCAATTCATTACACCTGATCACCCCCATACAGTAGGAATGGTCTAGACCACTTCACATGACTACAGCCTCACTCAACCCCTTGCTGAGTGAACGGTTTGGTCGACCACAGGTGGCCAAAGCCCTGTCAAACCTTTGCTTTGTTCACCAAGCAACCCTCTTTTATGTGGAGACCAAACAGAGTGGACAGAGAGCTAGCAGGTAGGGGTGGGCAGGACGCATTAATAATGCCTTTTCAGTTGGATGAATAGAATGGATCCCTTCGACCCGGCAATAACACAGTGGTCACTTTTGAAAGGGCTCCTTTTTTGTTTTGATGACTCGGTTTACTTACGCTATTCATTTATCTATCCATCTATCTATGTGTTTAATTCTTTATTCAACTCTAGCTAATACGCCTGCATTAGCCTACTCTCTGCCTTGACTGGTCATAACTGTTGAGTCATCATACAGATTGTAATTTGAATTGGGTAGAAATCGGTCACAATTCTGACTTACCATATTTACTGTGTCCT